CTGGATGCTGTGTTTTGAGAAAGATGTGGGGTGACTGGAAGGGAGCAAGGAAAATCATCAGCTGTCTGCAAAATTCCCTGTGAGGGAAGAGGGAAGAGCCAGGGTTGTTTAGTCTGAGAACATAGCTGAGGTCTCATAGTAGCCGTCAAATATGTTCAAGGGAAAGAATCACTGGGCTTGTATGCAGGATGGGAGAGAATTTCTTTTTTCCAAACACAAACTGAGAAGGTAAGCACAGAAACAGACCATGCAGAGGGACTGTGAGATCTCCAACAGCCTTTAAGAGTAAACTGGAAAAGCTGGAGAGTGGATCCTGCTGTGGGGTGGGAGTGGAGGTGACCTCTTAAACATCCACTGCACCTCAAGCTCAGGGTGACAGTAGTTAGAAAAAACAGTTTTCACTGACAGCTGGTGCAGCAACAGCTTGCAGAAGGGAAGATGCTTACACTCCTGGGACTGTGTGAAATGTCTGGGTAGAAACTTTCTCTTGAGCCCAAGGGAAAATATTCCAGCATTTCCTTGCTAATGCCACTAAGGCACAGAGGATAGGGCAGCTGTAGATGTTGCCACTACCTGAAAGCATATCTAGCTGCCAGAGAGCTTGTGCTGTTCCAGGACTAGCAGATAATCCTAAATCACCACAATGAGTTGTTGTCAGCCACGAAAGCAAGCAACACAACATTCTGAGAGAAAAAACCTCTTCCATTTAGCCCTGCAGACAGCTCTGGTTGAAAGCTTTCTGCTCTGCAGCCAAATATCGCAGACCTAACTGAGGCGCTTATTTCAGAGCAGCATTTGCCAGGGAGCACCCAACCCACCAGCCCTGCAGAGGGGCAGAAGCTGAGGTTAGTCCAGGAGATGAACCTCAGGAGGAGCCCACCAAGGGCTGGCTGTAGCAGGCTGACAGCGCTGAGGTGGTGGCAGTAACAGCTCCTGTTCCATCTCCACTTACACCTCCCATGCCAAAAGTGGAGGGAGCAGCACAGACAAACACCCAGAAGAGGCAGGCAGAACACAAACCTTCCTTTTCTTAGAGGTGGGTTTGAAGTTACATCATTAACCCAGAGCTGAAGGCGCTTTTTGCTTCCTGTAGCTCCAAAGCTTGGCTGTCGCTGTGCCCTCCAGTAGAATTCATCAGGTTTGGAAGGGGAAGCTTTTCCTCCTCTGTCAAGTCGTTGTCTTTTAACTAATTTGTTCATATAATGTATGTGACATTTGGTTAGTTCATTCTGAAAAAATAATTAACTGTTAGAAAAGAGGCAATTCTAGGATATTAAAAATTAGAACGGTCACTCAATACTCAAACAGTAATTACTTGAATTTCAACAGAAATTTGCCCAAGAATGCAGAAGGTATTTCTAACAGAGTATTTCCGAAGAGTGCTTACTCCTGTGGAAGGAGAAATACTAGAAATTAAATCAGTTATACACTAATCCTAGGGTTAATTAGAGACAAACCCATAATTTGAAATGCTGCAGAAAACACAAGCAGCTAAACAATCACCAAAGGGTGAACAAATCTGGTCTGCATTTCTTGCAGTGCCTGCCTGCACAAGCAGTTGGTAATTTGGATGTTTTTCTCCTTTAAGCATCTTCTAATCTCATCTGCTGTGCACGAGGCTATCACTGGGGCTTGGCTAGAGGTAATCTATCTACTGAGAGCTGCAGACTGACAGCCTGGGGAGAGGGGGGTCCTTACAGGAACAGGCAACCCAGACAGATCCCAGTCCAAGGCCTGATCTCGCTCAGCCACAGGAGCAGAGGCTCACCCACCCACGGGAACAAGCCAAAACTGGGTATTTCTACAGACAGCAGCAGCGTATTGTGCTCAGCGTGTCTGGGCACGTTAAACAGGTAAGCAAGAGCAGAGACTGAGCTTACAATCCTGACAACGTGTGAGTGCAGGCCAATATAATGCCCGCTCTCAAGGCCTATTTGAATGAAAATGGGTCAGTATCAGCATCAATACCCCCATGCACAGCATAGGGCGGGTGTTGTCAAACCTCTGCTCCCAGCATTTGAAGGCACAGCAGCTTTGGCCCTCTGGGAGTCAGCCAGCTCAGGAACGCGACAGACTGGGGAGACAGGAGAACGGTTATCTCATGACGCCATAAGCTTCTGTGCCATCCTGTTGGACATAGCGGGGCAGCAAAGAGTTTTGCACATGAAAATTACATTCCCTGCCTCCCCAATTAGTTATCAGTGATGCTGCTGAAGCTATGCTAAAGCAATTATTCTGTTAAACAAGTAGTTCAAGTGTCCTGCACACTGACACCGTTTAGGCAAGTTTCACAACAGTTTTTTATAGAAACATCACTCAGAAGCCTTCAGCCCTGAAGGTGACACCCAAACAGCACAGCTGCTACAACCAAGACTTGTTCCTAAAGAGAGTCGAACCTTTCGTTACAGCCAGAAATTATAACGAGGTTAAATTTGGCACTAAACAGAGAGGAAACAGTGATCCCAATCGCTCACAGAGGTAAGTTTGTCTGCAAATTCTGGTCTTTGCAGAAAGCAACAAACCCTCCCTGCTAAGTCTGAGCTGTCTGCTGTGACTTAGTGGCAGAGACCAGACCAAAAATAACATTCGTACTTTCTTTTTCTAACAGCTAAAAACTTTTTCATCTAAAGGGCTCTGGTAGTGGGTTGTTTCATCACTAATTCATGTTGACAAATATAACTATACCTGTGAAACATAGATAGAAATTCTTTTTCTGCTCAAAACCCACATTAAGAAAGGCACTAAGCAGCTCTCTAAACCACTGGTTTCTACCCTGGAGCATGGACAACCTCCCAGGGTTTGCAGGCTGCCTTCCCTGATCCCCTGGATTAGGCCAGAAGCACTAGCCTGTTTTCAGTTGGCACACACTGCTTTAAAACTGTGTCCACAGTTTAAGGGGTCCACAAACTGATGTTAAAAATAAACAAAACCTTGCTTTAAACTAAATGCCAGGAATCTGTGTTACCAAGAAAATCTGCAATATTTGATATAAAAATTTAGCTGCATGCAAGAGTCCACGGATGCTGCTGATCTAGAAATGCTGAGCTTAAAATCAACACATCACTAAGAACAGTTCAAGAACTACAGCAGGATTAGGAGTCATGAGCAACACTACTGGGAACAAACAAAACGCTCCTTGGACCCAGAGGCCACTGGTTAGTGCTCGAGGAACCCGCAGAGGAAGACAGGCAAACACACACAGGCCTTCCTTCCTTAGGACACACATTCAACCAAGGCAAAGACATAACCAAACCGGAGGTGTAGTCTAAAGAATGTGGACTAAGAAGGTAACACAGAAACCCCCAAATATCATTCACTTGGTTTATTTTGTGCATCAGGTTTATAAATTACTCCCATTAGTACACGATCTGCTGTGAATGTGATCAGAGGAAGAGGGTGGTCGGTGACGTTAAATTTGTTCACAACCAAGTGGTCTCTCAGGGGAAGGAGAGGGACACCACGACCGCTTGCAGAATCTGTACTGGGCATTTCAAGTTCACCTCAAAGCAGGGTCTCAGCAGATGGATGGCTCCAAAACACTCTATCCAGCAACACATTTCCTACAATAAACACAAAGCAGTCATTTAGCAGTGCTTCCTGCAGCACTCAACAGCACAGATTTCAAAGGTCTCCAGGATCCAGGCAAGACATTTCTATCATAGCGACCGAGGGAGGCACAGCAGTGAGGCACACTGGCCCAAAGTCCTCTAGGAGGGATCACTGGCCCCCACAGAAACACCATCTTTCTCCATTCCTGTACAGGAGAGTGTCCTTTCCAGATTATTTGTGCACAAGACCACATCAAAGCTCTTGCTTCAAAATAAAGAATGTATGCTACGGCCTCAGGAATGGATCCATGTTCCTATCACTGGCTAAGACAATTTTTAAGTAAAAAAAAAAAAATAAAGCCCTTACTAGGTAATTTAATTGCCTCTACATGACTTGAGAGCTTTTCCACTGACTTGTCCGTAAACATCTACGGTCACTGAGTGCAGCTGAATTCCACAAAAAGTTTCTTTCATCCCCTGGTTACACCAAGGGTCCATGTGAGATATATTTTGAAAATGGGGAAGATACAATAAATTGTTTAAACTGCAAGAAGTACCTAAAAAAAGACTTACAAAAGTACTGACCATCCCCTCAGTGACCTTGAGGGCAAGTATCTCACTTTCATTCAGCAAATTTTAAATACAACTGTTACCCTGACTGGAAGAAACGAGCACTGAGGTGTTTATAGCTCCCTCTGGGCCTTTTTCCATAAGCATCCTTAAAGGCAAGGCAAAAACCTGCTCAACTCCCTTCTGTCTGGGGGAAGGAAGAAAGAAGTTCTCAACCTGCCTACTACACAAACATGCATCTAAAGGCCCAACAGAAGGTCTTATTTAACTGCTCTTCCAGCTTTACGGATGGTCAGTCCCATAGAAGATAGAGCACAGCACATTTCACATGGAATTAAAGAAGGGGAAAAAAACCTGAGAAAGCCAATTTACCAATGAATTTGTGGTACATAATAAACAGCTCTGAACATTCAATTCACTTTTAATAACAGTTACAAGGAACAGAAAGAAGTCTGAATTTGCCTAGCAACAAAACTTGTCACAAGCTCGAGGCCATTCTACCTAGGAATAAAAAGGAACAGATCTCTCCAAAGTTCCAAGTTACCACAGAACACTTGATTTGCCTTCTCAGAGCAACATTACATTGTGGAAAACCCAGCGATTGCAAAATAACCACTTGAAAAACATATTCTTATTAACATTTCATCCTTCTGGCACTCTGTGAATCCAGGCTCCGTTTTAACAAAAAAAACAACCAAACAAACAAAACCCCCCAAAAAACAAAGAAACAACAACCAAAAAAGCCCCAAACCTGAACAATTAAATTGAGCAGCTCTGGTTTGGACCAGCAACCTGAATGTGCCCTGGACAAACAGGACACAAACACAACACTACTACTTAAGCCAAGCGATGCACAAACAAAACTTACCATTAGAGGGAAGCTTAGTCTTCAGTTTTAAACTTGCCGCCAATGTAGGGAACATACTGAAGGACCAGCTTCCAGTCTGTGACCCATATTAAACCAGTACCAGCTACACCACCCCACGTAACGAGGGTGGGAGTCCTAAAGGAGAGACACACACATGTGCAGGTAAACAATGTTAATTCTCCATTGTAACAGGCTTGGCAAATGCTCATCCCAAATGTATCAGGGAAAGTAATCTCAATCAAGCAAAGAAGCACTGCACAGACCTCGAAAGACCTCACATACAGACAAGTATTAGCGCACAGGGCACTAATTTTACAGGAAAGGCTTGATACACTTCTACTTGAAAAGGGCATTACCCTGTTAAGAGACACGCTTACTTGTTTAACTATTCTGCTACTAGGGCAGCCCACAAGCTGCTTCATTCTCCCTCACGCAACCCCTGGAAGCAGCAGCCGCTGGTGCTGCGACATTTACAGCTCGAAAACACTCAGACACCAGCCAGAGCAACCCAGAGGCCAAACACCGCCCCTCTCAGCCCTTCAATC